AGATAGACCAATCTTATAAGATATACACCAAATCAAACTTTATTAAAGAAAGAAAGAAAGAAAGATATGTTATAATAGCTATAAGCTATTCAATTTTAAATGTCCCAAAATGCCAGAATTTAATAATGACTGAGACCAGTTATAAAGCTATTCAAATTATGGAAAAAATAGTTTTATTGAAAAGAACATTTACATAAGAATTGTAATACTCCCAACAGACCACAGGATTTACTAGTCTGCTACAAATAAGCATTTTACCACAATTACAAGTATGTTGCTGGAAGCTTCAAATTAATCATTAACGATCAGGAAGATTCTAAAATTATTGTCTCGTGTACAAACTGAGGATATGCATAAAAGCTGAAGTACAAATAATTAACAAACTTGTACAAAATAAAATTTCAGAACCAGGACACTTTTAACACATAACAGAAAGATTAAACAATGCAACATTCCTAGCTACCGTAAATATTTTTACTTGTGTTTTTAGTGGTAATCTTTTCTTGAAACAAATATGCATATACATATACACACACATATACAGTACATGTAGGAAAAAAGATATAAAGAAACACATAAAATAGCTTCCAATCTTTTCCACACCAGCTGTAAGTACAATTATATATTAACTTCTCTCTAAAGTTACATCATAACTGTCTTCTTTCTATAATCTATCCTGTTTAATCATCAAAGCCTAAAACATAAATTATTTTTTTTCTTTTGGCAAAAAGTCCATAAGGGATTTCTCTTCAGCAATAAACGTATATATTGTATTTCTCTAATCAAACAAGTCAATATCTCTTTCAGCAAGTTCTTATCATCTTCATCAACTATTTCCTCCATTTACAGGTATTTGCCAGATCTTTCAAACTTTGTGCATATAATAATCTCACTGTAAAACAGTGCTCCTTGGCTCTTTTTTTAACTATTTATATACATCAGTCTCCAGAGGAAATGTTCAATCTTTGAATCACTGTATGTATTTGAGGCCAAGGTTTTCTAGCTTTTTTACACATCCATCAAGCATGATAAAAAAAATTGTTCACATTTCCAACATAAATTTGAAGAATATTTATACATTTTGGATAATTTTTCGGGTGCCATATACCAACACTACATAATTTAATAAAATTTCTAAAATTGTAACACAAGGTAAATTTTAGTCTTTAAATCACATATTTTCCCATTGTTAGATCTGTATATTATAACCAAAATTGAAGCCTACTTTAAATTCTTTGACTTTCTTCTATTGCAAATTTTATTCAAGGTTTATACATTTTAGCAACTGCTAAATGAAGATATTCATCATTTATATAAAATTTCATTTCAAATTGTGGCTTATATTGTTCACTACAATTAATTATTTTATGTATTTTAAATCTTTCTGATAATTATAAATAAGAAAACCATTGACAACTATGTTCCTCTGTCATTAGTTGTTCTCTTTATTTTATTTTATATTCCCCTTGAATTGGCTTCCTTGCTTCCTGAGTATTTCAGTGTATTAATTTTGAGGCTGCTGCAGAGTTAAGACAGAATCCCAGCTTCCCAATTCTTGGTCTATAGCTTTTTTCCCTCCTCCAGTTCTTTCTTTATGTTTTAAAAGAATTCAGAATTTCTATCCCCGGAATATAGGAAAAGGCTGGGATATTTCTGCATCTTTGTGTCAGAAAATCATGACTCCTCAATGAAATATGGATTGACAGTCTGGCATATACAATGGCATTCACAATGTGTTTGGAAGATTTGGTATTTTGGGATGATAATCTTAATAGTAAGCTATGTTATGTTTCCCAGAATAATCAGTATTTAAATTCTGTACTTGGAATATTCATATTCATTGTCAAGAAAATTGATACTGTACCCTACTTAAGCTTCTTTCTGAATGAGCAATATAGTTAAACAAGGATCAATGTATATGTCCCTCATAAAATAGTACTATTTTTTAAAAAAAAACTAAATTATTATAAACAATTGGCAATTGTCTAATCAGAAGAAAAACAATCCTGCTTCAAAGTCTTTACCCTCTTGTAGTACTGAACAGTCAGAGATTGCCCTCCTGGGGCCAACTAATTGAAGCTCACTATTGAATTTTTAAAGGCTATCCAGATTTTTTTAATCTGTTTCCTTCTGTAGGAGTTTTGGGGAAATTAACAGTGGCATGGGATGTATACACAGGCCTGATAATCACCTCTTTTTCTCTTCCTTTTTATACTGAATCATAGATGAAATATCCAAACATAAAGGCCCCCCTGTCTTTACTCAAGAAGAAAGATACAAAATGGTGAAGGCCATCAAGTGGGTAGATGAGATTGTTGAGGGAGCTCCTTATGTCACAACACTGGAAACTCTGGATAAATACAACTGTGACTTCTGTGTACACGGGGGTGAGTACCGGAGCCTGATGTACCCACTTCTCTCTCTCTCTCTCTCTCTCTCTCTCTCTCTCTCCCTCCCTCCCTCCCTCCCTCCCTCCCTCCCTCCCTCC